TTGGCCATTCACAGGGTATTCATTAGTTTTTGAAGAAGAACATGCTTATTTAATCCAATGGATGAAAACTACTCTAATGCCGGGCGGGGTAGCACATGCCTGTAATCTCAGCACTCAGGAGACTGAGGCAGGAGAATCACTGTGAGTTTGAGACCAGCCTGGGGCTACAAAGTGAGCTCAAGGCCAGCCTGAACTGCATAGCGAGACCCTGTCTCAAAAAGGCAAAAAAAAAAAAGAGAGAGAGAAAAAGGAAACTAATATAAAAGTATTAACTAGAAATGATTCTTGAGCTAAAGAAACTTGTCATAACCTTTTGTGAGTTGTTATACAAGTATACCCTATAATAATAACCATATTTAATGTCAAAGTATAATATGTACTCAAGGTATCAAAGAATCCCGTTAAGCCAGGCCTAGACTGTTTAATCTCATCAATTTACAGATAATGAAATCTATAATTAAAATTCTGAGATATGTCCAAACAAAGACTATCGGGTGTTCTTAGAATGTCAATATATAAAATTAGGTTTGGAGAAGGAAGCAAAGGCCTACATTCTACAAGTTCTAAAAAGCAAATGAACAATTTGAGTTTCTACTCAAAAAGGGGGGCGGGTAAATGTTTATATCAGATCTAGGCACAATGGCACATGTCTGTAATCCCAGCACACAAGGAGGCTGTGGCAAGAGGATCTCAAGTTCCAGCCCAGCCTAGGCCACTCAGCAATTTAGCTCTCTCATAATTAAAACAATTTTTAACAGGGTTGGAGATGTAGCTCAGTGTGAAGAGGCTGGGTTTAATCCCCATGCACCACACAAGCATCCATGGGTGCATACACATAAGAGTTTTTATCAGAAAGGTTACTTTCCTCTCAACAGCCCTGTCAAGCCCGTAATGCACGCAGTGTCACAGTCTGGAGAACTAACTCTGGTCTCTCCCCTTTCACTGCCAGATTGAACAGCTTTGAGGATAATCTCCCTCACTCTCCCAGAGCTCAATTGGAAGATTCATTATTTATGCCCTCAGCTGTTTACTCTGTCCTATTTTTCCATCCTTCCCGATCCACCGGCAGTGTTACCACTGGCCTGTTTCCAAAATGAATGCATTAGCGCACTGCCCTACTAGTTACAAAACCAAAGACAATCAAACACAGTGGTATCTTAATATTGGACAGCAACCTCACCCACCACTTGATCCAGAAAAGTTCAAGACAGTGCTGGCTCGGGTTACTAAAGGCTAAGTACAGGGCCAGGATTTAGCTCAGTTGTGCAGCACTTGCCTGGCAAGTGCAAGGCCCTGAGTTTGATTCCCCTAACCACGAGAAAAAAAAAAAAAAGGCTAAGTTCTCCTGGCTAATGTGAGATCATACATCACTCTAGCCCTTTATTTTGAGACACTAAGCAGCATATGTGCACATCCACAATGATTCTTAAAGGGAAATAACATTAGAAAGGCATAGGCCGGATGCAGTGGCACACACCTGTAATCCCTGCACTCAGGAGGCTGGATCAGGAGGATCTAGCAAATTCAAGGCTAGCCTTGGCTACAAAGTGAGTTCAGGGCCAGCCTGAACTGCATAGAATCTCAGCCTCAAAAAGATTAAAAAAAAAAAAGGCAGCTCTGGCCCTCATCAGAGCAGACCTGTAAACTATAGAAGATTAAACTGATTGAGATGCAATTTGCCTAGCAACTGTTTTAGGAAGAGTTCAATAACTCTTAGTAGTCAATGTGAAGACTTATCTGAGTGATAAACAGATTACAGACAGACTCTACTAAGTCCTCTACCCTCAGGATTCACTCACAAGAAGCTCAAAAGATTTAGCTTCTAAGAATCAAGCCCTGGGGAAGGTGTTTGTGCTTACACACAAAATACTGTCTCTGATACCTGACTAATAAAGCTGAAAAGCTAAAAGTTACCATCAGCTACATATTCTTATGAATGCATTCATTGTCCCTAAGTCTTTCACTTTAGAAGCATCATTCCCAGGTCTTTTGTGCCTCTAATATTTTTTCACCTTGAGTAAGCGTTTCCCAATTCCAAGCCTTAGAACACTCAAACTGATTATTATAAGAATTAAGTGATGCCAAGGGTCCAATATTTTCTTTTACCTTCTCAAGGGAATCATTTTATGTGTCTGATACCAATAGGGGATTAGGCTAGAGTCTCCAGTTAGAGAGAACACAGGGCCCTTATTCTTAACACATTCTAAGATGTGACTCACAGAAATAAACAAGATGGGTAAAAGCAGATTGCTAAAGAAAATAAAATCAGTTACTTTAACTTCAACAGCACTATGTCCACTCAACCTAAAGAAATACAAAAAGGCTTCACTTAATTATTTTCTTGAAGAGGACCAAATTTAAGAGGTTCCCTGCCTCTTAAATATCTGGGAATCAAAGTACATACATCTATGAAAAGTTCTATACATAGCCTTTTGTGTCTTGGGAAAAACTATTTGTGGACCCTCAATCACTTTATTATGTAAAATACGTACTGATTACACAAATCAGTAAAGAAAACAAGCAGGGCATGGTGATACACACTTGTAACCCAGCAGTTGGGAAGCTGAGGCAGGAGGATCTCTCAAGCTCCAGGCCAGCATGGGCTTACATAGTGAGTTCTAGGTCAACCTGAACAACAAAGCAAGAGCCTGTCTCAAAAACAACAATGAAAACAAAACAGAAGCAGACCTGGGTTTTGATGGTGCACACCTGTAATTCCAGCACTCTGTGGGGCTCCGGTAGACAGGTCACAAATTCAACCCCACCCTTGGCAACTTAGTGATTTAACAAGACCTTATCTCAAAATTAAAAAATTTTTTTCCAAAATTAAAATTTTTAAGAAATTGCCAAAAATGTAGCTCAGTTCATAAATAAATATTTAAAAAATAAAGTAAAAGGTAATGTAACTAAATAAAAATTTAAAAATAAAAGCAAGCAAGTAACTTTATAAAGCTTATCACCAGGTGTGGTGGTGCCCCCTGTAATCCCACTATGCCAGCCCTGGCCAGACTTTTTAAAATTCTGAGACAGCTGGTCAGACTTGGCGCAGGCCTATAATTCCAGCATGGGGAAGCTGAAGCAGGAAACTCACTGTGAGTTCAAGGTCAGCCGAGGCTATAGAGTGAATTCAAAACCAGTCTGAACTACTTAGCAAGACCTTGTCTCAAAAAATCAAAATAAATAAAATAAAATTCTGAGACAGGGTCTCTCTAAATTGCCCAGGCAGGGCTCTAAATGGGCGATTTTAAGACCTCAGCTTCCCCAGTGGCTGGGATTACAGACATGCACCACCACACCTGGCTCTTATTCTTTATAAGAGTTGTTTTCACCCAAATTGCTCCTGATTAGAGAGCCAATAAATTAATGCAAAAATATTATTTATCCAGCTAAAACTGTAAGACAGTGCCTGCATATCAATTCTCTTCAAAACTAGACTCCAGTTAGAACAATCTTTGGAAACTGAACCTGTATTACAAAAATAAACTCTGAATAATTAATATTTACCAAAGTATGGCCAAAAAAATTTATATTCATCCTTTTGACACTGTAGCTCTTCGATAATTCACACTGGGATAAACCTGGCTCAGGGGCTGGGGATTTAGCTCAGCGGCACAACACAGGCCTGGCAAGCGCGACGTCGCAAGTTCGATTCCCGGTACCGGAAAACAAAACAAAACAAAACAAAAAAACCCCTAGCTCAAATACCTTTGTTCGAAAATGCCCAGTTAAAGCAAGAGTGCCACGAACACTCCCACCCAATATACACACACAGTTGCTTCTATTGTCATTTTGGTCTTCCTTCCTTCCTTTCCTTCCTTTGGTCTTCCTTCCTTCCTTCCTTCCTTTCCTTCCTTTCTTCCCTCCCTCCCTCCCCTCCTTCCTTCCTTCCTTCCTTCCTTCCTTCCTTTCCTCCCTGCTTCGCTCTCTGTGTCTCTTTCTCTCTCTTTCTTTTGAGACAAGGTTCCACTATGTAGTTCAGACTAGCCTTGAACTCACTTTGTAGCCCTGGCTGGCCTCAAACTCACAGCGACCCTCCTGCCTCAACCTCCTGAGTGCTGGGATTACAGGGGTGCGGCACCACGCCCAGCCTTGGGCATTCTACTTTTGATTGATAACTTTCCTCTCAATTTAAGACATACAGAGAGGTTCCTGGTTTGGAACGGAGATGAGACACAAGTTCTTTAAGCAAGAGAAACAAAGGAACTAAAAAGAGAAATATTTAAATTTAAATTGTAATGCTACACCCATCCGAACTCATAGTCTGGGGAGGGAAACCTTTTAAAAATCAATAAAATCCATCTGGATTTTTTTAGGTTTGGTTTTTATAGTAGAAAGTATTCTCTCTCAGAATCTATTAACATAAGAAACAGATTAAAACTTTTAAGTCTCAGTAACAGAAAGGTAAGTTTGCCCACTCTAGTTCGGTTTCTCCACTAGGACTGCGCTATTACCAAATCGTACCAAATATACTCAGGGAAGCCACTTTAGCAGATTAACCATCCTTGACAGGAAGTGCTCCTTTTTTCACTCGAACCCCCTTCCCTTTCAGATTCTAGTGTTGATTACGGCAGTCAGAAAGAGGAAAATGATGAAGACAGCTTTAATGGATAAGCATCCTGCCCAGTTCCAAAAACCAACTGATAGTTGTTGATTTTTGTTTTTTGTTTTGGTTTACCACATCTAATGTCACATAAAGACTCTCCTCTTGTCTTTTCTTCTCTGTCCATTTTACTACTCGACCCACACATCAGTAAAAAGAGGTAAGACTCCTCAATCTCCTTACCCAGCGGCAGAGGTGAGATGGAGGGAGGGAAATGATCAAGGGTAGAACTGGAAAATCAAACGAACTGATAGGATATGGAGATCTTACTTCCCATTCCATTTCCCCTTTTCTCACAAGGTTAAGTAGGCTGAAGTCGGGATCGTGTTAGAAAAAGCACGCGCGCGCGCTCACACACACACACATACACAAGCACACACAAGCACACGCACACACACACCTTGCGCCTTGGAAAGGAGGTGAGGTTCGCTCCGCAGCGCTCTCGAAGGGGCTCTGGGCTCCGCCCCGCCCGCCTGGGACACCTCAGCCCAGCTTGCCCCGGCCCAGGGAGGATAGATGAGAAGGGGCTTCTAGCGGTCTTGGCAGGGGGAGGGGGAGACGGCTACTCCGGGAGCCAGGCTCTCAGAGCGCAGCACCCCGCGGTGCGCCGACACCCCCTCCCCCAGCCGGCTGCTGCTCGCTCGCCCTCGCCGCCGGAAGCCAGCCCCGCCCCCTCAGCGCTGTCCCGGCTCTCTAAGAGCACCCTCCCATCCGCACAGCCAATGGCGAGCCAAGGAACCAGCAGAGCGACTCGCCACGCAGCCAACCGGGGAGGCCCACTGGGAGGTCAGCCGCCAGGGATAGGCCAGCTACCCGTGGCCTCGGCCCTGGCCCGGCTCCTCTTTGTTAACGCTGCCCCTCTCTCTCCCGGCGCCCACCCCAAAGCTGCGAGCCCAGCATCCCGCTGCTGGGCCAGGTGACACCAAGCCCCTTCTCTTGCTCTTTTGCCCACTCTCTGTCTGGGTACTAAGTAACGCGCCCCAAAACCGGTGGAATCTGAGTGTCTCATACTTCCAAAGAAACTGCCACCAAGAGACTCCAGTAAAAGGATTTGTCTCTAGGTAGCTCTGCCTAGCTCTCCTTTTCTCAGACTAATCAACTGCACTCCCTCAAAACGGTGGATGATTTAGGTTTGCATATTAAATCAACTGCACACATTAGTTTTCCCTGTCAGAAACTCCTGCTTCCAGTGACGTAGAAATTAAGGGATGGGGGGGTTAATTCGGAAACTATGTATCTGAAGTTGATAGGGTGGAGGAGGAAACACATGAAATTGTTCGCAGAACACAAAAGCAAACCAACACACATAGTTGGTTCCAATTTGTGTCAGATACAAGACATCTACATCCAATTCAATCCAGGAAATCACTTCCTTCAAGGCTTCAGCAAAATCAGGACGCAAACACCTAGATTTCTTTCAGACTACATACCTAGTATCTGTACATACTCTCTGCAACTGACGGGCCACCATGTAACTGGTAGTTTATATCAAAAATTTAGCCGAAGGGCTGGGGATATAGCTCAGTGGCACAAGTGCCTGCCTGGCAAGTGCAAGGTCCTGAGTTTGATTCCCGGTACCCCCGCCCCCACCGCCCCGGCGGCAAAAAAAAAAAAAAAAATAGTTTGGGGCTGGGGATTTAGCTCAGCAGCACAGCACCTGCCTGGCAAGCGCAAAGTCGTGAGTTTGATTCCCGGTACCGGAAAAACAAACAAACAAACAAACAAAAAACCCCAAAAATACCAAAAATGTAGCCAGGAATGTAGCTCAGTGGCACAAGCGCCTGCCTGGCAAGTGCAAGGTCCTGAGTTCGATTCTCGGCACCAAAAAATTAGTTAATAAGGTCACTGTTAGGGGCAATGTTTCAGAATGGCATGTACTAAAGATTATAGTATATCGGGGCTGGGGATTTAGCTCAGCGGCAAAGCGCCTGCCTGGCAAGTACAAGGTCGTGAGTTCGGTTCCTGGTACCGGAGAAAAACCAAAAAAATAAAAAATAAATAAAAATTTAAAAAAACTTAAAAAAAGATTGTAGTATATTTATAACTCGTTCAAGAAAAACAGGGCTGTGGTGTAGGCTCAGAGGTAGAGCAGCCTGCTTACCATGGGCAAGCCCTGGGGTTCCATCCCCACACCAAAAAAGGTGGTCAAAGAAGGCTACTACCTAGATTGTTTTTGCCTTGGAGTACCAGGGACTGAAAGGAAGGGCTTTTCTCTGAGCTATATACCCAACACACACACACACACACACCACACACACACACATCTTTGAGACCAGTTCTCACTAAATTACCCAAGCTGGGCTCTAACTTGTGCTCCTCCTCCTTCAGTTTCCTAGGGTGTTGGGATTACAAGTGTGCACCACCACCCTTGGCTCTAAATTGTCATATTTTGTCCCCAGAGTTCTTGCAATTGCAGGATATTAAATATCTACATCACACACAATAACCTGCTTATTCACCATGTACTATTATTATCTAAAACAAAACAAGAGCTGGGGTATAGCTATGTGGTAAAGCACCAAACTCAGCATACATATCCAAAAATGCAGGGCTGGGGATTTAGCTCAGCAGCAGAGCGCCTGCCTGGCAAGCACAAGGTTGTGAGTTCAATTCCCGGTACCTGAAAAAAAACAAGGAAAAATAAAATAAAATAAAAATCAGACAATACTAAGTTTTAGTAGCTTCTTCATATGTGGAGCTCAAAGTATTTATTATATAATAACCTCAAGTCATGCTGGGTGTGGCGGCACACGCCTGCAATCCCAGCACTCAGGAAGCTGAGGCAGGAGGATCACTCCAAGTTCTAGGCCAGCCTGAGCTACCCAGTGAGGTCAAGGGAAGTGTGAACTGCACAGAAGGACTGTCTCAAAAAAAATAAATAAATAAAAAGGTCTCCCTGGGAGAGGGCAAGGATTGTATGACAGCTGCCTTTAAAGCCAGTTCAAAGATAGACCTGGTGTCAAATGCCTGTAATTCCAGCATTCTGGGATGTTAAAGCAGGAGGATCACAAATTGAAGCCCAGCCTGGGCAATTTAGCAATTTAGGGAGACCCTGTCTCAAAACAAAGGACTGGAGATGTAGCTTGGTGCAAAGGCTCTGGATTCAATCCCCAGCATGGGTGGGGAAGGTGCCAGTTTATTTTTGTAACCTGAATTAGAAGATGGGGCTAGGGCTAGGGATGTGCTCAGCAGCGCAGCACCTGCCTGGCAAGTGCAAGGCCCTGAGTTCGATTCAAAGAGTGAAAAAAAATAATAAAATAAAATAAAATAAAAGAGTGGGCTAGTTGTGGGGGGTTGGGGCAAAGTTTATTTGAGAAAGTAGAAGTGAAGAGCGGGAAAGAAACTGGCTCTGAAGAGTAATCTTGGGCCAAGTAGAATGAAAAAGAAAGTAAGAGCAGAGAAAAGTACGAGTCGTGTCTGGGAAACACTGTGGGCTACCATGGAAAGCTACAATAACTGGGCTAGCTTGTGCTAGTTAGATTCTGTATGAAAATAAAAAATGTGAAATTTTAAAATTATTTTAGATTCTGACAGACTGTATTACATAGCAATCATATCTCCACCCCATGTTACCCAGCCTGGCCTTAAACTTCTGGGATCAGAAGCTGGGTGACCAGGAATTCACATCTTTTTTCCTTTTTTTAAATTTTAAGTAGTGGGAATTGAACCCAGTGCCTGTGCCATATGAGGCCAGCACTATGCCACCAAGCTGCACCTACAGCTTATTTTTAAAGCATGTATGACTATTATACGACTGCAGGTCCAAGACTAACCTGTCAACAGTGAAAGGAAGACAAAAGAGGTAGAGGGGACTGATAACATTTTATATGTTTTATTTTATTTTCAAAAAATTTTAGCCGAGCATGGTGGCTCACACCAGCCTGAACTACACAGTAAGACCTTGTCTCAAAAACAAACAGTAATTTTTTCAGAAATTTTTGCAGAACTGGGGATTGTACCCAGGGCCTTTACACTGAGCTACATCCCCAGTCCTTACTTTTAGGGTCTCACTAACTTCCCCATGCTGGGCTCAAACTTGTAATCCTCCAACCAGTTGGCCAAAGTACTAGAATAACAGGCATGTGCCACCAGGTCCTGCTCAATTGTATAGTTTCTGAGTGAAATTCCAGATTTTTTTTTCATTGTTTTTAAACCCTATGTTAAACATCTTACTCTTATAATCAATAAAAGATATTAATTCCTGGTACCCGAAAAAAAATGTATTAAAACACAAACACCTCTCATATGGAAAAGAACATCAGGTTGGTCTGAAAATTATTTTAAGTAACATTCATCTAGTTTAGTTTTTTTCCGGTACTGGGGATTGAACTCATGACCTTGCGCTTGCCGGGCAGGCACTGTGCCACTGAGCTAAATCCGCAGCCCTATCCATCTAGTTTAATCAGTTTGCGCAATGTTATTTCTTGAGCACATTATTCTGCAAATGTCTCAAATGCCTTTATAAGCAAAAAACAAACAGAAACTTAAAAACATTGGCCAGATGAGGTGGCTCATACCTATAATCCCACTACTCAGGAGGCTGAGGCAGGAGTATCTTAAGTTGAGGCCATCCTGAGGTACATAGCAAGTTCAAGGCCAGTTTAGACTACATAGTGAGACCCTGGTCTCAAAAAACAAAAATAAACAAAATAATTGACTTTGACACTTAACTTACTCCAATAAAAAAAAAAGTATTCAACAGAACTGAATAACAAACACAAAACAGTAACAATGCTCTAAGATGAACAAGAAGCTAATAAGCACTCTTAAAAAGGCATTTTCCCCCAAAAGACCTACGAGACACAGAATTTAAACAGCCATCAAAACAGAGACTGTGCACACCAATAATCCCAGCACTCGATAGGCTAAGGCAGGATCACCATGAGTTCGAGGTCAGCCTGGGCTACATAGTGAATTCAAAACCAGTCTGAGGGGCTGGGGATTTAGCTCAACGGCAAAAGCGCCTGCCTGGCAAGCGCTAGGTCGTGAGTTTGATTCCTAGTACCGGAAGAAACACGAAAAACAAAACAAGAAATAAGTAAATATTTTACCAACAGAAAAAACAAACAAACAAAAAGAAAACCAGTCTGAACTACATAGTGAGACCCTGTCTCAAAAAACAAACCCCCCCGGGGCTGGGGATTTAGCTCAGCGGCAAAAGCGCCTGCCTGACAAGCGCAAGGTCGTGAGTTCAGTTCCCGGTACCGGAGAAAAACCAAAAA